AGATCGGCGCGCCCTTCCTTGCGCGCCAGGCGCTCCTCCGTGGGCAGGGGGAGTGAACGCCTATGCTCGGGCGCCAGGGCCCTCGACCAAAGCGGGTCCTCCGCCGCCTCGGCACTGGCCACGTCGACGAGGGTCCCGGAGTGGAAGTCGTCGGGCGCCCTCCTCTCGTCTGCGTCGTCATTGGCCTCCCACTCTGCACGGCCGAGCGCGGTGGCAGGGCGCTGCCGCGCCAGGTGCCGCACCGTGCCGTGTGCAATGCACCCGCGAGGGCACCAGGGCGACGACGCCAGCGCGTTGTTGGCCGAGCTCATCTGCCTGGCCGCTTGCTGACTCATACGCTTGCGGTGCAGGGTGCGCCTGATGCTGGACAGGGCCCCCCCTGAAGCCAAGTGCTCCAAGCCAGGATGCCTAGCCGCATCCCTCCGCAGCAGCCGCTCATGGCTGGCGCCGATGTGCTTGGAGAGGGTCGAGGCGCCCAAGGCCTTCAGGTCGATGGGCTGCTTCAGGTCGTTGAGGAAGAGGCCTGGCCGCAGAGATGGCATGCCATCCCAGGCAGTGGCATGCCAACGCGCATGCCGATGCAAGGCCCCTGCCAGAAAGTGCCTCAGGCCCCTCAGCATCCTTCCTCGCCAATGCCCCTTCGAACGCACTCCCGAATGCACGCGAGTCCGTGCGGTCCGCGTTGGACTGTGTCGCCTTGGCCCACGCAACGATGGGCAGCGTCGCGTGGTCGACAAGCGGGTCGCTGGCCAGGCGCTTGCTTTGGAGGAAACTGAGGCTGAGGCTCTTGCACGTCCCTCTGCCGTGGTGAACGGCATTGGCCTGCCTCCGCCACTTGGTGAGCTGCGGCGACGGCCAGCCCACCGCGCTCAGGCCGTATTTGGTTGCAGGCCTGAGCCCCCTGTTGGCCACACGCGCTGCTGATGGTGTCTCCTGGGAGCGGATGGCGCGCAGCCTCTGCAGCTGCGCTGCCGCCTTGGTGTGGCGCGCCTCGAGCACCACGAAGGCCTGGCCGTCAAGTCAATAGTCCACTCGCAGGTTCTTGACCGAGTCGGCGATGAGAAAGGCGGCACCCCCCATCTGCTTGGCCACCGGTGAAGCCAGCTCAGGCGAGCTCGCAAGCAACTCGCTCTTCGACTCCGACACCTTGCAGCCCAGCGCCACGAGCTGCGCCGCCGCGGCCTTGGTCGCCTGGGCAACGTGCGCTGCGACCTGTGCCATGCGGCCGTGGCACCCAACGCAGTAGTCGTCGAACATGATGGCTAGGGTGGCCCGAGGCTCCAGCACCCGCCATAGGCGCGCGTGCTTTCATCGGCCAACATCAGCAGGCCGCACTCGAGGAGCCGCCCTTGCGTGCGAGCAACCAGCGAGGAGGCCCGCGTCGAGCAGGCATGGGTCGGAGACGCTGCCGTCTAGCATGAAGCGCCGCGCGCCCGCAGACAAGGTCAGCGCCATGCCCAGCAGCCCCGTCGGGTAGCCCGCCATGGTGCTGCGGTCCTGGATGATCGCCAGGTCTACCAGCTCGTAGGCTGTCGATGAGTGATGCTGCAGCTACCTCGCCTCGTGCTTGCGATGCCTCGGCTCGGAGCGCTTGCCACCAGACGGCCTCTTCGGCCGCGCGCCCGCGGCCGCCCCAGAATGCGCCTGCTACGCCTGGGTCGATCTGGGAGCCCCAGTGCCGCGCGTCTGGCTGACGGACGCGACTCCAAAGGCGCGGCAGCCAGCCCAGCAGGCTTATGGGCCGAAAGCACCCTTGAGGCTTGGGCGGCATCACCACGAGAGGTTGGGTGATGACGTCGGGCCAGCCGCCCAGCTCCTCGCACCGCATCCCGAAATCGGTGATGACCTCCAAGAGGGCGTCGCTGAGGTCCGCT